CAGGCGCGCTCGCCCCCGGCGCCGGTGCTCGCCCCCGACCCGTCGGCCCTCGCATCCCTCCTCTGCTTCCTCCCCTCCCAACCTCGGCCACCGTCGGGCCTGCCTCCTCGCCCTGCACCCTCTGTAAACCACCCCCCTCTCTCTCTGCTAGCTAGGGTTAATTTACTTAGGTTTTAGTTATGTTAATTAGGTTATCTATTTAGTTATGAATTTAGATAGGTTTCAAAATTTGCTAAATTTATATGCAAATTTGAACTGGACATGTGATATGTGGATATGTCATGTTTTGGACATGTCATGTTTTGGTAAATGATCCGAGTTGCCTATGTTACACCGAGATGTTGATTCATTTCCGTTCCGGTGAATTTCAGGCGCTCGATATGTCCATTTTTTAGCAAAGGTCATGCCGAAATTGTCCTCGTGCCTTATCATCCAAAGTAAGTCAGTTTCGAACAACCCTTTCATACATTTCAATCATTCCTTCTCTCTCTATGGGGAATAATTTGAGGTGTCTTTTCCCCATAGCAACGGGCGCGTCGTCCTTATCATTCTTTATCCGCAAGTCTCCCACGCCGTGTATTTTGACCCTTCCAGAGACTACGAGAAAAAAGACTACACCCACATAATGAATATTCTAGATGATGCTCTCCAAGGCTTCAGCTTTAGAGGTGGCCACATGCAGATCAGGAAACAAAGGAACAAGAAGATGGATTTCGCACATAAAACTAACTTCTCCTGCATCCAAGTCCCAAAACCAAGCAAGAAGGATGGATTCTACATCCTCCATCTCATGATTCAGTTCAACACGGATCACCAAAAGCTTCGCATGAGAAGCAGAAATGATGATCATATCCACAAGTGGCTAGAATCTCATGGAGAAGCGGATTATAAACTTAGAGATGACTTCTTTCGCATCCAAAGCGACATTGCGACGATCATCATGAAAGAAGTCGTCGATGAGAAGGGGATGTTCCACCACGGCCCTATATCGCGAGCTGACGTCCGAACTCGCATAGGCATGCAACGTCTAGACCTCACGCCGTTCAAGAAGCTAGGGTCCATCCTCGATGATATGGAAGGATGGAACTTCTAGTGATTTATGATGCCGATGATGATGATATGTGTCGGTTCAACTTGTATACTATTTGTAGCGATGCAACTTTGTGATGTCCATGATCCCTAGTTGCATCTAGTTGCTAACCCTTTCTTTTTCGGTGTTCTCTAGTATATTTTGTTGCATATATATGATTGTACATCCTCTTCATGAACATGCATCTCTAACTGGTACCTAGTTTCTTGATGGCGAGATGGAACTGCTATGTCGTGTACAAAGGGAAGGTTCTGGGGGTGTACAACGAGTGGCATGAGTGTCAAGCGCAAGTGAATGGGTTCTCGGACGCCAGCCATAAAGGCTTCAAAAGCAGACAAGAAGGAGAAGCTAGTTACTTGAGGTTCACGCTAGCGCGAGAGAGGACTCGTAACCGCCATCTCATGTACTGCATAGTTCCGCTCTCACTCATAGTGATAGCTCTTCTTGCGTATACCTTTGTTTAGATGGATGATGTTGTAGTTGCAAGTATTCAAGACTTGCATGTATCGCTATTTTCGAGATGATGACAAGATACCACTTTGTGTTGGATGATGATTATGACGAGACTATTTGTATGTATATGCTATGATTACATTTGTGGTCTCGCAGGCATTTGTATGTGTATCATGATGACATTTGTATGTGCTAAAGATTCTTCTATAAAGCCTGTTCAAATACAAAACAAATATGCCGAAAAAAACAAAAAACTACTAAAATTAGCTGTAGCGAGTGGAGAAAAGTTAGCAGCAGCGCGGTTGTAGCAGTAGCGCGCACAGGGGAAGCGCGCTATAGCTATTAGCAGCAGCGAGGTTCCTTTAAGCGCGCTGCTGCAACACTTGTGTAGCAGTAGCGCGGGTGGACCAGCGCTACTGCTATACGTTAGCTGTAGCGCCTTATTAGTAGCGCCGGCCCCCGCGCTACTAAAAGGCCGAAAACCCGCGCTGCTGCTAGGATTTTCCCTAGTAGTGAGCGCGTTAAAAGGAGATCATTCAAGCAAGGAGACCTAGTGCTCATCGTCATTCGTCCAATGAATATTACACGACGGATGGGAAGAAAGTTCGAGCCAAAATGGGAGGGTCCCTACATCATAAAAGAGGTCTACTCTAGTGGTGCATACAGGATAATTTCCCCTTACGGCGAGTATTGCCCGCCATCGATAAATGGAAAATTTCTTAAGCGCTACTATGCTTGAGTAAAAAAATGATACTCCATACCCTCATGAGTGTAAACTGGGGCACAAACAAAAAGACTCCAACTACTTACGAGTATAAACTGTGATGGAAAAACAATCGAATCATCATACTTACTCCATACCCTCATGAGTGTAAACCGGGTCACAAGAAAAAGATACTCCAACAACTTATGAGTATAAATTGTGATGAAAAAAAAGGATCATCCAAAATACTCCACACCCTTACGAGTATAAACTAGGGCACAAAAAAAACTCCAATGACTTATGAGTATAAACTGTGACATAAAAAAGAGGGTAATAAAAAAATATAAACATCAAGCAGGCTCCAGACTTCATCATCAGCTTAAACGTCATACAAGAAATGGTACGTACATGCATTTATATAAAAAATAGAATAAAAAATAAGGCTTCATGCCATACACAACAATAGTGTAAATAAATAAGGACGCTTCAACGTCAAAGCTGGCGTACTAGCACATCATGCATAAAATTCGGAGTTCCCACGTGAATAAACAAATTACTGCTACATTTGAAGTGAAACTGAGTACTGAGCCTAAAATGATTCAAAGGGAAATTATAAATTGAAATTGCTAAATAATAAAAAAAAACTAAGCGAAGTCTAGGTCTTCTGAAGGAGCTCGCCAGTTCTGCAGGCTGTTCAACAAATGACTTGCTTCAGTCTTTAATTTTGCCGTCTTTTGTTCAAATTCAGCAAGCCTTGTACGCTTGCCGGCGTTGGTGTCCTGTAGACTCTTCACCAAGTCCTTCAGTTCAGATTGATGAGCATTATGTGGTTGTCGGCGTTGTTCCCTCTCTAGTTTAAGCTTCTGCAAACTAGCGGTAGCCTCCTCAAGCTGCACCTTAAGCGCTGCTTCCTGCACCTCCATTTCAGTACACTTCTTGTCTAAGTTAGATAAGTCCAGAATTTCAGCCTTGGAAACTTCGTGGCCGGACTTAATTTTAAGCTCGACTTCAGCAGCAGCATGTTCATCTCGCTCGGATCCCTTCGTGAACTCAGTCTGGCCAACCTCCAATTTCTTGGAAAGGTCAATATGCCCGACCAACATGGCATGCACCTTAGCTACCTCAGGTACTTGCGTGGGCAGCGTCTGAGAAACGCTCTCAAGCATGATGCGTCGCTTGGGATCAATAAGGATAGAGTCGTTCAGTCCTTTGATGGCTCATTTCACCGCAGTAACGGTGGCATCTATAAACGTGTCTTTGACAAAGCTGCAGTCCATCTGTGTGCCTTCCCCTGATACAACCGTCATTACAGGGTCTTGCGAATGGTAACTTTCTCGTTCGCAACCTAAAAAAAAAGTGAAGAGTTGTGAAAATTTGATGATAATGATGGTTCATAGATACGGCCAATTAAATAAATGCATAAGTAAATAAACTACCAGGTAAAGTTGACAAGAAATCAAGAGCACTAGGGGTAGGGAGCACAGTTTCAGCCACACCAGGGCTGGAGGGTAGACGACTTGTGCCACACTCGCCAAAGGTACAATCCTTGACGGATAAATCGAAGAGGTCACCAAGGCCATGGTCCTTTTCTCCCGTGAGAACGTGGCTAAAATCTTCATCACTAACAAAGTTACTGAATTCAACATCTAAGGACGGACCATCCAATATTATTGGTTCAGAAAAATTGGATTCTTGGGCGAAATCAAGTTTACGCTTCAAAGGCAGCCTTTCCTCCTGTTCCACATGAGGCGGTGTAAATTATCTGCGTCTCTTTCCGCTAGCGGATGGGGCAGTGTCTGAGATATCATTATCCACTGATAGCGGATGAGCGGAGGAGGACACAGCTATGGCATTCTGTTTCAGTACATTACCTCGCCGTAGCTGTAAAAAAACCAAAAAAAGAGAACTCAAGTTAGTACTAAATAGTACGTGAGACATAATGAAATATGGACACACATGTGCTTGATCTCACCTCTTTAGACTTCACTGGTTGAGCAGCAACAACATCATTTAAATAATTATAGAGGACCAGTCTCCATTAATCTGTAATAGGCATTTCTGCCTTCTCAAGGGACTGAACATGTTGGTCACGGTGCTCCATAGATACTCTCCTCACCGCCATAAAATCTTTATCAGACAATGGGCGAGGCTTGATATTGTGTTGTAGTGCACGCTTATTATCCTTACATCATAAGGGGTCTTCCCAGTCATGTTGCCATTGCAAAGTTGGCCCAGAATGTCAGCGAAAGGCTTTAGAAATTTTTTCCACCAATTAGCCCATGCTACAGAGGAGTTTCCAACTCGATCATCGTCAGGAAAATAGTGGAATTCTTCAGGAGCAAAGGATAATAGGTGTGACCAAAAAGCATAGGCAATTCCAATTTCGTCTTGAGTATACAGGCTCGCTAGAGGAGAAAAGGGTACAACTTGGTCAAGACGAAACTGTCGTGCCACTCGATCTGGGTGATATGGTTCAGCTATACACACATCGGCGGTGATAGTACCACGCCTCCACGGCAGCATGCCTCGACGAATAGAAATTAAGAAAGCCCTCTTGGGTTTGAACACACCTTCCATAGTGAGAGAATAGGGGTTCCAAACAATATTCTTAGAGTCATCGAGGAAAGCATGTGCCTCTTTAGGTGTAAAATGACGTGGCGTCTTAAACATGGTGTTCACCATATTAGGTTGTACCGCCAAAATTCTGGAGCTCGGGAAATTTGGCGTTTTTGTTGTGTTTCCATAGGGTTTCTTGAGGTACACGCCCATCCATCCAGCAAGGTAGTGGAACGGCCAAATCCTGTGTATGAATGAGGGGCCAATTGGATGAGTACAAATTCGCCGAAGTGAGTAATAAAGGGAGCAAAGAGCAGGTGGGCCCAAAGAGATACGTCGTCCTAGGGAAATCCATGCCGCCATCACTAATGCCCCAGGGCGAATATATGGCCCACCACCAACAACGACATAGCGGCAAAGCCATATGGCAAGAAAAGCCGCAGTGTACACGCGCTGGTCTTCTAAGCTCTTGGTAGCAAAGGAGTTTACTCCACTATTGTGAAAGAAGTCACACCATTCCTTGAAACCTACTTTGCCACCCACAGCAAGCTTGGTCCAAATTTCTAGGAGCCGAGGCAGGAAGTTGGGGTACAAAAGAGTCGAAGGATCCAACTCATCAGCTAGGGGAACATATTCTTCATAAGGTTCACCATCAAGGGGCAACCCCGCGATCTGATGCATATCAAGAAGTGTGACTATACGCTCGCCAGACGAGAACAAAAACGTGTTGGTGTTGGGATCCCATCTCTCCAATAAAGACCTTAAAAGAGAAGGGGAGACAGAATAGTCGCCTAAAGAACAATAAATGGCTCCATAGACGTAATCAACACCTTCCTCACTCCCCTTCAGATGGGTATGATATTTCTTCAAGACATTAGTACCCCATTCAAGATACCCAAGAGGCATTGGAGCGTATTCAACCTCATGATTCTCCCAGCCTAAACCTTTGGATATCATATGTGTCCCAAGGGTTGAAGCTTCATCAAGTCTAGGCCCAGGTGCGGGAGGTTGATAACAACAAGCTGGGAAAAATGGCCTTGCCGTCCATCCACGTGGTCCAAGCTCAGGATGGCCGTGTGGTACGCCTAACTTCGTAATCACTGGATTGGCTAGCTCACTAGTATCAGGTTCAAATAGGTGTTTTTTGGCCAACTGTGATAAAGGCATTCTACATGATTCAGACGAAGATGGTGTCGTGGCTTCCTCCATCTATATGCAAGGAAAATATGCATGTCGGTATACGTATGAAATTACAGGAAGTTAAAAATAGTACATGAAAATGCAAGATTGAATATTATACCAAGGTGGAAGAGATGATCCCGAGGTACGCAGTCTGCAACGAGAGATAGTATCTACAATAAAAAAACATTTCAATATTTGAATTTGATGCATAAAAAAGGGAATATGAGAAACACGAAACAGGTGTGCGTGATTGAAAATATTCCTCATCCCCAAAAAAACAATAACATTACCGTCGAACGACGGACCAAGCCTATATATAGGCTTGCCGGAACGCCGACGGTGATCGAGTCATCAGACTCATACATATATGGCAAATAAAAAAATCACCGTCGAACGACGGACCAAGCACATATATAGGCTTGCCGGAACACCGATGGTGATCGAGTCACCAAACTCATACATATATGGCAAATAAAAAAATCACCGTCGAACTACGGACCAGGCCCATATATAGGCTTGCTGAAATGCCGACGGTGATCGAGTCATCAAACTCATATGTATATGGCAAATAAAAAATCACCATCAAACGATGGACCA